TCGAGTGAACAGCTTCTCAAACAAGAAGATTAACATTTAACAACCCTTAAAATCTTAAGTTATCTTGCACGTGCAAAATGGGGGAATCTTTTAATAACAGTATCTATGTTTGACAATTGGTATTTTCCTAACTCAAACAATGTGGGGTTTATTATTCAACACATATTTATAATGTGTCTCAGGTGTTCAGTCTCGTAGACAGTGGTCAAGGCGGTGTCCGTCACTCTTGCCACAGATTCTGCAACTCCGCTGCTCAACTGTTGTTTCAGTCCGAATCTTCATAGATATTTGTATCCAAGACAGATTCTCGCTATTTCTGATTCTCTCCAGCGGCCACCTCCTCTTCGTCCATAATGATTGGGATTGCCAGCTGCAACCATGTTGTACCATCGTACGGATTCAGTGATTTGTTCTCCTATCCTCCTTTCCTCAGTTACCTTGTCACGGTGATGTTGCCTGGCAATACCTCTACTTGGTAGAAGAGTCTTGGGTATGAAGAATTCAATATGGTCTCCTTCAGCAGCCAGCACATCTGCTCGTTCATTCCCACATATTGGTACATGGGAGGGGATTCACAGAAATTTGACGACTCTTCCCTGGTTGGTTAGTACTCTCACAACTCTCTTGATCTCGGTGACTATCGCAAGGTTTTCGAGAACTATGCCTTCTCAACGCAGAGTTACCTGCTATTGTTATGGCGTTATGATTCTTTGAACGAAACACTAATGGTGCAGTGATCTGCACTGATTCAAAAGCAGCGCTACAGAGCCTAAGTAAAAATCGGGCAGAAAACCCACAGCTCAGTGTGTGCAGGCTAAGAGCTCCCCCTCCCACAGCTCAGTGTGTGAAGGCTAAGAGCTCCCCCTCCCACAGCTCAGTGTGTGAAGGCTAAGAGCTCCCCCTCCCACAGCTCAGTGTGTGAAGGCTAAGAGCTCCCCCTCCCACAGCTCAGTGTGTGAAGGCTAAGAGCTCCCCCTCCCACAGCTCAGTGTGTGAAGGCTAAGAGCTCCCCCTCCCACAGCTCAGTGTGTGCAGGCTAAGAGCTCCCTCTCCCACAGCTCAGTGTGTGCAGGCTAAGAGCTCCCCCTCATACAGCTCAGTGTGTGCAGACTAAGAGCTCCCCCTCCCACAGCTCAGTGTGTGAAGGCTAAGAGCTCCCCCTCCCACAGCTCAGTGTGTGAAGGCTAAGAGCTCCCCCTCCCACAGCTCAGTGTGTGAAGGCTAAGAGCTCCCCCCTCCCACAGCTCAGTGTGTGAAGGCTAAGAGCTCCCCCTCCCACAGCTCAGTGTGTGAAGGCTAAGAGCTCCCCCTCCCACAGCTCAGTGTGTGAAGGCTAAGAGCTCCCCCTCCCACAGCTCAGTGTGTGAAGGCTAAGAGCTCCCCCTCCCACAGCTCAGTGTGTGAAGGCTAAGAGCTCCCCCTCCCACAGCTCAGTGTGTGAAGGCTAAGAGCTCCCCCTCCCACAGCTCAGTGTGTGAAGGCTAAGAGCTCCCCCTCCCACAGCTCAGTGTGTGAAGGCTAAGAGCTCCCCCCTCCCACAGCTCAGTGTGTGAAGGCTAAGAGCTCCCCCTCCCACAGCTCAGTGTGTGAAGGCTAAGAGCTCCCCCTCCCACAGCTCAGTGTGTGAAGGCTAAGAGCTCCCCCTCCCACAGCTCAGTGTGTGAAGGCTAAGAGCTCCCCCTCCCACAGCTCAGTGTGTGAAGGCTAAGAGCTCCCCCTCCCACAGCTCAGTGTGTGAAGGCTAAGAGCTCCCCCTCCCACAGCTCAGTGTGAGCAGGCTAAAAGCTCCTTCCACAGCTCAGTGTGTGCAAGCTAAGAGCTCCCCCTCCCACAGCTCAGTGTGAGCAGGCTAAAAGCTCCTTCCACAGCTCAGTGTGTGCAAGCTAAGAGCTCCCCCCTCCCAGAGCTCACAAAGTTATCTAAAGAGCACAAGATACCACCAAGAGCATGTTTCTTCCCAAACATTGTACACTATGCTCACATTAAGACACCATCAGACATCAACCAATAAATCTTTATTCGTTAATAAAACGTAAAATCCAGGGATATCGTTGAAGCTCTGAAGGCCTTGAAGAAATTAGCAAACACTTAAAATTAAAATTGTGTAGTTCTTGGATAACAAGAAGATTTGAAAATAAATCAGCAGTGAACAAACTATTCCCGAAAACCTTTCAAAATATATTGGTTGTCCACTTTCAGACAATAAACATTTAAAGGATGAGTTTAGGAAGAGAAAAGTATTACCGCAAAAGTTATGAAGCCTTTATGGAGCAGCAGCAGCAGGTGGGTGGTGATGGTGTGTGGGATGAGTCTTTGTCGCTTGGTCTGTCTCGGTAATTACTGCTCTTGGTGGTGATTGTCATGTTAAGTCCTTTGTTGACTGTTTTGTCTCTGTCTCTCTCTGTCTCTCTCTCTGTCTCCCTCTCTGTCTCCCTCTCTGTCTGTCTGTCTGTGTCTGTATCTGTGTCTGTCTGTCTGTGTCTGTCTGTCTGTGTCTGTCTGTCTGTGTCTGTCTGTCTGTCTCTGTGTCTCTGTGTCTCTGTGTCTCTGTGTCTCTGTGTCTCTGTGTCTCTGTGTCTCTGTGTCTCTGTCTCTGTCTCTCTCTCTCTCTCTCTCTCTCTCTCTCTCTCTCTCTCTCTCTCTCTCTCTCTCTCTCTCTCTCTCTCTCTCTCTCTCTCTCTCTCTCTCTCTCTCTCTCTCTCTCTCTCTCTCTCTCTTCTCTCTCTCTCTCTCTCTCTCTCTCTCTCTCTCTCTCTCTCTCTCTCTCTCTCTCTCTCTCTCTCTCTCTCTCTCTCTCTCTCTCTCTCTCCCTCTCTCCCTCTCTCTCTCTCTCTCTCTCTCTCTCTCTCTCTCTCTCTCTCTCTCTCTCGTTCGTTCGTTCGTTCGTTCGTTCGTTCGTTCGTTCGTTCGTAAACAGTTGATTGACAGTCGAGAGGCGGGCCGAAAGAGCAAAGCTCAACCCCCGCAAACACAACTAGGTAAATACACACACACACACGCACGTTTTACATTCGTTTTCACTTGGTATCTATTATTTATGTCATGTATATTTCATAGCAAACATTGTAGTGAAAATTTAGCGTGTAGGTTCCTTTCCATAACTATCAGTGGTGGTCAAACTATATATCCAGTGTCTCCACTACCAATAAACCGATATGGGAAAAGTTTAAATTATTTATGGTCGTGGGTTCAGTGAAGGTAAAAGTTTGTAAACAAAATTACTAGTGTGTGCCAGTGAACAACATTATTCAGATGCATCAGTTGAAGAGAATAGAGCGTTATGAAGTGAGAAAATTGTTGGGATGATTGTATGACAGGTTTTGAAACAGAAAATGGGGCATTATGCCAAAAAATGGATCTTTGAAACTAAGAAAATAAGGGTTTGAAATAGATAATATGGCCTAGAAAGTAAGAAAATAGGGAAGCTCTACGCTTTCTGACATGTTTTGTTAATTAATAATTCATGAAATATTAATCGAAAATAAGCTAATTGATCACTCCAGTTGCGTTGAAGCTTATTGCAATTGCAAAATAACGCGTTGTTTGCGTATGTTGAACAACAGGACAGTCCTGAACCACTCCAATGGTCATAATATACAACAACAAAAACAACAACAACGCCAGTTCGATGTCTTGACCGTCAAGCCAACGCCATTCTTGGATATCGTGACCATTGTTTCCCTGGATATCTTGAGGTTATCTTGAAATGTTTTGGGGGTTTAGCGTCCCCGCGGCCCGGTCCTCGACCAGGCCTCCTTTTGTGTTGCACAGTCCCAAGAAGCAGCAGCCGGTAGCAGCTGTCTAACTCTCATGTACCTATTTTACTGCTAGGTAACAGGGGCATCAGGGTGAAATAAACTGCCCATTTGTTTCCCTCTCCACCGGGGATCGAACCCGGAACCTCAGGACTACGAATCCGAAGCGCTGTCCACTCAGCTGTCAGGCCCCCTTGGGCCAGGATTTATTTAGCATTTAATGTCCACTTACGAAACCTGTACATCTTTCCTTAATAACGGTTTTTGGGTTAAACAGTTCAAGAGCTTCCAAACAATTTAATGAACGTAAACCCTAGTCGCCATGAATAATGACCCAGGATGTACAGGTTTCGTAAATAGATAGGAAAGTTATCTCTTCATTGCTCGCCACGCCTTTTAACTCTGTACTTTAAACACACTTTCATTATACATTCAAAAGAGTGCAGATTTCCCCCATTAAAAAAATATGTAGACGTTAGGCCTCATTCACTCTGAATCTTTCATTCTTATCGCTAGGCCTCGACAACCTGGTCTCTGGACTCTCGTATTTTTTTTTTTTAAGTTGTCGACCAAAGCGTTAAGAATGCGACGTATTTGTAAAAATTCAAGTACCTTCAAACTGACGTTTTCTATGCATCGGCCTGGATAGGTTATTAAGTGAGTTGCTTGGGTTCATACGTTTCTGGTTACAGGGAAAAGTTACCTGTTTACGGTGTGGCACAGAGAACGGGCTGCTTGCATAGGTCAACATTAAACAATCCACATAAAAATATAGAAGTTTATTGTATACAAATAAACAATACATGTAACTGAATCACGAACAAAATGATCTAAAACTTTTAGTATTCGAATGATTCTACTAACAACGGGATTGGCACTCAAGGAGGCCTCCATAACAGCACTCTGGACTCGTGGGACTGGAAAATTCGTCCTTCCTGACCTGAAATCTTCTCGGACACCGGACACTCTAACTGCAAATGCGATGCAGGTAGAAACTGCGTCGACTTGAGAATGGTCCAGGATGGACCGAAACGTCGTCGTCCCTTCACCTTCTAGTGTGTGGTCTGGTCTACAAACTGCAAATGTTTATATTTCAAAGACTTGAACACTTCAAAAGTACTGGTTTGAATGATAAAATACTGAGGTCATACAATAGGATCGAACCCGCGTCCATGGACTCCCCCAGACACATGCCCTACCCACTAAGCCCTATACCTGGGAAGGCTAGGAATACAAGTTCGATTCTACTGTATGGCCACAATATTTGATCACATATACATAACGTTCTAATGATTACAGTGTACCCTGGTTAGTGTACTCCGGGAATGTTATAGCAGATCAGGACTAGCAAAAGCCAGACTAAAGCTACTATTTAGCAAACTAGGACTATCAGTAGTGAGGCTTGAGACTACAGGTAGCTGGGCTGGTAGACCGGGGCTGAATTTGAGTAGATGTTCTTGGGCTTGAAGGTGACTGCCGGGCCGTGGTCCAGCGGGTACTGGGCCTCACCGTAGTACTGCACGTCCGCTACGAACCCTCTCTCGTGGTCGGCTTGGTAGTTCACCTGGAAGGATTTACAAGGGAGATGAGTAAGTACACACACACACACACACACACACACACACACACACACACACACACACACACACACACACACACACACACACACACACACACACACACACACACTGTGGGGCCTCGTAGCCTGGTGGATAGTGCGCAGGATTCGTAATTCTGTGGCGCGGGTTCGATTCCCGCACGAGGCAGAAACAAATGGGCAAAGTTTCTTTCGCCCTGAATGCCCCTGTTACCTAGCAGTAAATAGGTACCTGGGAGTTAGTCAGCTGTCACGGGCTGCTTCCTGGGGGGTGTGTGTGTGTGTGTGGTGTGGAAAAAAAAAAGTAGTTAGTAAACAGTTGATTGACAGTTGAGAGGCGGGCCGAAAGAGCAAAGCTCAACCCCCGTAAAAACACAACTAGTAAACACACACACACACGCACACACACACACACACACACACACACACACACACACACACACACACACACACACACAAGTAGATATGATAGAGCCCAATAAGCTCAGGAATCTGTACACCTGTTGATTGACGGTTGAGAGGCGGGACCAAAGAGCCAAAGCTCAACCCCCGCAAACACAACTAGGCGAGTACACACAAGGTGGCCGGTGGCCAAGCGAACAGCACGCTGGCACGTGATCCTCTGGTCCCGGGTTCGATCCCGGGCGAGAAACGATAGGCAGAGTTTCTTTCACCCTATGCCCCTGCTACCTAGCAGTAAATAGGTACCTGGGAGTTAGTTAGCTGTCACGGGCTGCTTCCTGGGGTGTGTGTGGTGTGGAAAAAAAATAGTAATAGTAGGAGAAACAGTTGATTGACAGTTGAGAGGCGGGCCGAAAGAGCAGAGCTCAACCCCCGCAAGCACAACTAGGTGAATACATTCGCGCGCACACGCAAGCAAAACACACACACACACACACACACACACACACACACACACGTGTGTGTGTGTGTTTACATATAGGAGTTAATTCAGGATCCATAGGTGTTTTTTAAGCAGTGTTTGAAAGTGTGTGTGTGTGTATGTATATAAATGCAGTATCTGAAAGTGTGCGTATATATGCGGTGAAGAGTAGTCTATATATATGTATTTTCCTATACATAAAATGCACAAGCTATTCTAATAAAACGCCGCATTTTGACGTATATTCTACATAAGACCAAAAATCGTCCTACTAGTAAATGGCAGCGGCTCGAGAAATTGACATACTGTCCCGTTTTCTGTTTTGGGTCCTCTGGTAGGTTAGGAAAAAGGCAATTTAGTACGACAGTTTCTTGACGTTGGTGAAACCTTAGAAGAGGACGGGCTGAAAGTGCAACTGTAGTCAGTGGGAACAAAATTCTTGTGATTAGTATTTTTTGTTTTCATAATGATTTAATGTATTTCTAATTCATTTTCATGTTAAAAAAACTTATCTTTCAGTATAAGTGATTGGGTCGGTAGGCCTATATTGTAGTTACTGTTCATAACAAAACTATGTCAACTTAAAATTTGTTAATAATATAAATCCTGTTATCAGGTACAGGAAGCCTAATCCTAGGCCCATCAAGATCCCTAACCCCCAATATATCAATTTATTGCTGGGTAAACAGAAGAACCAGATGAAAAAAATTGTGCTAAACCGTTGTTGCCCTGCGCAGGGGTCAAACTTGTAGTTCTAGAACCTGATTACGTTAATCCAAAATTCAGTGATATTCGTTTTCGACTCACAATCGGGAATCCCGGGTTCGATCCCCCCTGGATGGGACAGCAATGGTTGTTCGCGTTTCCTTACACCTGTTGCTTCTGTTCTTCCAGCAGAAAAATGGACACCCCTGAGGTTAGGCAACTGTAGTGGGTTGCATCCTGGGGCGTAGGCAGGACCTCAACAAGGCTTCCTGTCCCCGACCACGGCATCTAACCCATACACAACATAACCACAACTTTGTAGCAACGTTATGCAGCTATGCCACGTTATTATACTGCTAGGACGTAAAACTGACGTTGTGGTTAAGTTGCGTGGGGAAGGGGGTAGATAGAGCATTGGGGAGATAGAGCCTTGGGAGAGATCGAGCCTTAGAGGAGATAGAGAGCGGGGGGAGGGGGGGAGATAGAGCCTTGGGAGAGATCGAGCCTTGGAGGAGATAGAGAGCGGGGGAAGATGAGCCTTGGGCGGAGATAGAACGCGTGGGGGGGGGGGGGGGAGATAGAGCATGGGCGGAGATATAGAGCGCGTGGGGGGGGGAAGGGATATAGAGCAGGTGGTTACCGTCTGCTTGCGTCCGTCGGGAAGAGCGACGGTGTACGACCCCCTCACGGTGTTGCCGTCGGACTGCTCAGAGGCGCCGAAGTCCGTGCCGGCGTACTCGTCCCTCACGCCGTACGCGAAGTCGTAGGGAGCTGCGTCCTGTGTGGCAGGAGACACAGCATGATACTTGTATTCATTAAACATTTACGCAACTCATTACGAAACCTCTGCATCTTTCCTCAAACATGGCGGCTTTGTTGACATCTGTTAAATAGTTTATGAGCTCCGAAGCGCTAAGAGGTTGTTCAAGATGATGATAACCTTGGGATGTGAGGTTTAGAAGCTCGTTAACTGTTTAAGAAATGACAACAAAACTGCCATGATTTAGGAAAGATATATAGGTTTCGTTATATTGATTCAAGTGTAGGTTAGACATATATATGAATGAGTTCGGTTGGATAGAGATAATAGGATAAATGGAGCTATGAATAGGATAGATAATGGTGGATAGATAATAGGAGTAACCTCGGATGGGTCAACAGGCCTTCAGCAGTTTCCTGTATTCTTGTGTTCATATGTGATTCAGAGTATTCTTGTATTCATTCCTGTATTCATAGTTGATTTACCTGCCTGTAGGAGCTCCTGCCCTCGTAAAGGTGTAGGAACTACAGGTAGGGACTGACCTGCTTATAGGTGTTCTGGACACCATAGAGGTCCGCAGGGCGTGCCGCAGGGCGTGCCGCAGGGCGTGCCGCAGGACGTGCCGCAGCGTTGGTGCCCATCACTATCGCTGCCACCACCGGCAGCGCCATCTGTGGATTAGTTATGAAAGTGTGATAACATGCACGCTAATACTCTAACCTGCGTTCAATTTGAAGTGATTTTGCCTAACCAAAAGCGTTCGAATCTAAGCAACAAACCTATTAACGTCGACACTTAAACTAGTCGGAGATGCTTCAATATTATAGGGCTTTTAGTACTCAAAACCAATTAATTTTGACATTTTGATTCAGTGTTAAAATTGCAGTCTGGTCAACCAGGCTGTTAGATGCAGCTGTCTGACATGATTACAGCCTCCTTGATAAGGTATCCAGAGGTCAGCCAGTTATGTCC